CGCAGTTTTAGATCACCCCTGATGAAGACACTAGACTGGAGTGTCGAAACGTTGGGTCTTGATTACAATTCGACTGGGCTTTGTAATCATTTATTTAAACCAGAGTAGCGAGCGAAACATGAACTTATATGTTGTTATTATATGTTCGACTATAAGAGTATTATTATTATTATATGACATATTAGTGTAATGTAGTGAAATAATTCAATTAAAACACAGATCAACGCTTGGGCTCTCTGTGTCTAAAATAACTGAAAATTGCAAACTTCGCAAGGCTATATTATCCGCATTTTACAACATTTCCCAACGAATTCGAAACTTTGGAATATTACTAATTTTGTGATGCTCTTTCAAGCTGTGATGAAATTTTTGTCTAGACTTGTTTAGATCAAAATTTAGTCTGTTACGCAAGTGGTCAATTGACCAGACATGATTTTGGATAAAGCTGTTTTGTGATAAACGAGCTCAACCGGTCGCTAGTTAATTATTCTAATTTAAATTGCATAGTGAATTGAAGAAATAATAACTAATTTTTTCCAAGATTCAACAGGTCCTGAATAATTTGTGTGACCTTCCTTTGTACAGCAGGCTTGTAGAGGACGCAGCGGTAGGTTGTGGGGAGCTGAGAATGACGTACGGATCGCGAAGTTATGGCGTAGAAAGAGATTGGACGTATGGATCACTCCATGATGACGTAGCAGATGGTGTGGAGTGCTGCTGCCACTTCATTTTTTGCTGCCAAAATGACTGAGCGTTATTGTTTCAGTTAAAGAAATATTGATTTCACTGGCCGTAGATAACCGGACATGCTCCCCACGCAACCCAAATATAATATATCTCACATCATTCTTCCCACCTAAAAGCTTCCTTCCATTTTTGGACCCAATAATAAGTTAATAACAGGTGTGAAATTAAAGCCGCCTGAATCTCAACAAGGTTAGCCATCGATATAAAAAGCTCGTGAATAGCTGTGTAAAATCTGAATCTGCTGGAACACTATCTTTGCCTGCTTGATACTTCACCGCTAACTCAATAACTCAAGTCGTTGTTCTTGAATTATGCTGAATCATTTTGCGTTTTCATTCCACACCATTTTCTAACCTCATATCCTCATCACACTTTCGTACATTCACTTCTCTCGTTTCTTCTTCATTCATTTATTATCTCTTTCGTTGTCTTTCTTTCTTTCTCTCTCCCTTCTTCATACAAATTTCTGAACTAACAACCCCTTTCAACCCCTAGGGCAAATGCCCAATAACATGTACATCAAGGGAAGATCATGTATATACAATTTTGACTTCACAGACAAAAGTCTTGTAATTGCTTTACTACACTTACACTTAATTAAGAAGTGCTGTCAAAATATTTCCTGCTATTTCCAAAACCTACCCAGAAGCTTGAATCAAACTGCACAAAGTGAAAGTGAAGAGTACAAGTGAAGATATCCAGGCGATAGAGTTCACAGTCCCTTTCGACGTACATACCTTAGATAAACTGCCCTCTTCTTTCCACAGTTGTTACACAAGAGTGTTTTGGTGGGTAGCTTTCCCTTCATTATAAAATAGAATTACCGCGTGGCATTTCTTCAATATAAATATTGTGGCAATAGTAACAACCGTAGCCACAAAAATTTTATCATTCTTTTCCGTAGCCAGAATAGCCATTGCAACAGCTACAGTAACGGTAACGGCAACGGTAACAGTAACAGTAACAGTAACAGTACTAGACATAGCATAGATTTCAACTTTCCTCTGTACTAAGCCTAGTTAGTGCACTGGCTGCAAAGAGAGTTTTTTAGATATAGTCAACTGTTTGGGACCGACTAAGGGACCGCTGGCGACATAGTAGGGAAAGATGGCCTTTAACGAATGAATCACGAATCAACTCTTCATGATGATACTGCTCAGCAGTAAGAAGTTTAACATTGCAATCTTTCCTGAGTGTTCTAGAGAGATTCATATGGTTTATGTCGTCTCGTCACGACCAAGTGTCAGGGCCGAGAGTGGTGCGTTTTCCCGTGCGTAATACAAATTAATACAAAATTTGCAAATTTCGCAGGGCTATATTTTCCTCATTTTACAACATTTCGCAACCAAACTTTGCAATTATTTTACTAATTTTAACATGCTCTTTCTAGATGTGGTGATGGATTCTGTTCTTTTTGCCTGGATCAAAATTTAGCATATAGCTGGAATCATCCATTAAGTAAGGTTCTAGGAATTCGTGACTATAGTATAGTGCGGTTTTGAAGTAAGTTGCTTTTAAGGATTTTATAAAGTTTCAACGATCCAAACTTTTCCAATTTAACACTTTACATTGGCTGACACATTGAATTTAAATTCACCGCAATTAACGCCATATTGAAGTGTCATTCTGTTGACAACGCAACGGCAATTGCCTATCTTTCGCGAAATATTTCAAGCTCTCAGCATAGATAGTCTTTTGTCCAAGATATTTTCTCTTTCAAAAATTGCAGTGCCCAAACGAAGTTAGGCGTTGCTTTATAATCGGTGCATGCGTGAGTTTGCAAGTATTTGTTAAGCCAGTTTTCCACTTCGTACCGTACTGAAACGTACTGGTGAGCACGCTTGAAGTGGAAAACTGGCTTAAGTCAGTTAATTTGTTCGGAATCCTTGGTATTTGTTAAAAATAGCCTTCGCGTTTATAGTGTGCTGTTTTGCGCATGCTCCAAGGTAAAGGTGGGAAATGTTCGTTTCTTTCTGGAAACCTGGATTTTTCAAACTTTTCTGCAAAAGATTACAATGCGATGATACTTCTTCTCTTTAACTATTGTGCACCGATAGTTGTGGAGTCGGTAACAAAGGCTACTTAAATAAGCTAAACAGACGTCGAGCATGTATAATTGAGGGTCGATCTGTCGGGATGAATGAACTACTTACCGTTTTTAGCATGGCCTAATCTCCAAGCATGTCGAAATTATCTTAACTGTATTCTTGTTTATAAATCATTACACGGAATGTCACCAGTTTATTTGTTAACTGAATTTAAGTACGCCCATCAAGTTCACACTTACAACACCAGACATCGCGATCTTTTGCGATTGCCCTTAGCTAAAACAAGTAAGTATCAGATCAGCTTTAGGTATAATGGCGCATGTACTTTCAATGCGTTACCCCTAAATGTTTGGAATATCAACGAATTTCAGGCATTTAAAACCAGATTAAATCTTTATTTATTTCTTATATAAACAATTTACGGAGACTCTCATTAGTTTCTTCTAGATATATACATATTGTAGGCATATATTTGTAGTAACATAGTAGTCATGACTTTGTTTAAACTATTTAATAGTTCAATTCAAAATTCACATTCATTTCAACCCAATTCAATAAATAAGAAAAAACAACAAAATTGTCATTTGTGACAGCCTTCTTTACCTTACAGATGTGCTGTCGTGTGAAGCAATATGTCGTGTGAAGCAAAAAGGCATAAATCCTGAAGTAGTCATAAAAATTACAGGCTTACAGGATTAAAAACAAATTTCCCACTGCAAGCTATATGTCATAGAATATTTTCGTTCCGAACTGTTTCGCTGTAATTAAGGTCAATTATAGGTGTTTGATCATTTCAATAAACAGGTACTTAATAATTTCGATATTCAATTCGAACGAGTGTAATTTTCAGAATTAGCTATCAAACATTTCTGCAAAATTGTATAGATCCTCCAAAAATTTATGGGAACTGGGCTCCCAGGTTCCGATACTTTTTCCGCCTCTGAGAGCACCGTACTGTACTCACTGAGCTTTTTATATTACTGAAGGACCTGTTCGGCATAAGAAAGGTGAAGCCATAAACATGGAGGATCTTACGCCATTTTCATGACAACACTACTCACTTACTTTATTTTCATGTAACTGCCACTGACCAACCACGATCTTAAGCTTCCGACAATGTGCTTAACCCCCCAGCCCTGGTTTTTTGCACAGATATTTAAAAGTTTCTGTTGTTTTTGAGCTAAAAGTCTAAATATTTCCCACGCGCATTACTTGTTTTAAGCCTGTTTTATACGTCGAAATTTGGTCGCGTCGAATGCAATTAAGACAATAGATAATGAGATGATAAACCTCATTAAGGTTCATTATCTATTGTGTGAATTGCATTCGACGCGACCGAAATTCGACGTATAAAACAGGCCTTACAACGCGGAGGAAGGGTGCGGGGTGCGTCACTACAAAGAAAGACTAATTCTTTCAGGTAATATTCACGAAACTTTTTTTAACTTTCTAGACGACTTAGTAGAGTCACTATATAGACCTTTCATATAATGTCAAAAACTCATCATCTTTCATCCTAATATACACAACAAATATTTCAATGGCAGACATAAAAATATTGTTGATGATTAAATATTGTGTACATGAAATTATGTTGTTTTGGGTCAGCACTAGTCTGCTCCCAGACGGCATCTTTCCTTCCACCACTGGGGAGAAGGGACAGTCTGTGCGCAGACTATGTCAGCACTGGCCTTTGTGGTTCTTATATTGCCAGACTGTCAGTTTTTAATTTGTTGTATTAATTAAATTGCACATACGTGCATGGTTGTTTTACATGTTCATAAAGATTTAATATGGTGTGAAATTTATATACTTGCCCATCATAGCGCAGGATTAATATATATAGATAAGCACAAGGCCAGAGAGAGTTGAAGAGGCCCACCTACACATGTGACAATGTGCCCTGTCCTAATGAGCCCTGAAGACTGTCTTTATTATTCTACAGGGTGTCCCAAAAAAACGAAAACTATTGAAATCACCAATAACAATTTAATTGTTAGAATTTGAATGCCTTAGCACTCTGTTGGTTCCCACGAGTGCATAAATGATTGACTTAATATAAGTAAATTATATGCATAAAGAAACTATTTAGGAAGCTGCTTTAAATTCCCAAGAACAGAAATTCGCGCACTTTACAAGGAGATGTTCTTAACTAAATTTTAATACATGCACCTTGTCAATATTTTACGCATCATTACGTTCAGCTTTTTGGTAGGGCATTCAATTTTAACAATACGTGATTTCAATAGTTTTCGGGGTTTTGGGGGACACCCTGTACTGTATATACTCTGTCTAAATGCCAGACGATTTTAAGGGGAGACTGCTCAATGCTGCCACTCAGTGGGTTAATTACACTTTCTGTCAATGAGCAGCCCCTGAGATATAGTCAGGCCATTAAGCTGCAATGTGCATGCCCAAGTGAAACCTAGCTACTTTCTTATAGGGGCTTATTTTACCGTGTGCGTACGTCTCAGACTAAGTCCAGATGTTATGTCATCAAGGGAAGAGTCTTGGGGTAAAAAATAGATTATCATAACATTTTGCCATTGTCTGTTTAGAACTTACTGTACATGGCAAGAACAAAAATGTTGCCCACTAATAAAATTGTCCAACATTAGATAGATTAAAATAATATAGGGCACATCAAGACTCATTGCCACTTGAAGTGTTAACATATGTGCATATGATATTTCTGTAGTGTAAAGATGCATAATGTATTATGTCATGCATCTTTTATTTTGCATAATATAGGTAACACTAGAGATGGCACAGGCACCAACATGCAGAACAACAAAATGAAGTTATAATTATAATACCATAACAACATAATAAATAATTATATGACCATGATAACTTTATTGAAGTGTAAACTTTTATAGCAGAGCACATGTGCTCAATTAATTAGGAACAATTAAAGGGGGGGGGGGAGGTCGTGGAGGGGAGACATGCCCCCCCCCCTATTGTTGAGACCCGTCGAAAAATTGTCAATGTTGTCGGAAATTGTCAAAGTTGTCGACGGGGGGAGATTTAAAATGTTGACGTTCGGAAAATTTTTTGGTTTCTCGGAAATATTCCCCCCGCCCCTATTGTGGAGACCCGTCGGAAAATTGTCAATGCAACCTCGTTCCCAGGGCTTTCATGTGAGGACGAGGGGAGAGACGAGAAAGCCCTGGTCTGGGCCGGTCACGTGACTACCCAAAAAGTGGCAGCTCGATCTCTTCCGAAAATTAAGGCTATGTCTTAGTTGTAAAAAGCGTTCAAATTAAGACATTGTCTTAATTTTAAACATAACCCCAACTCCAACCCTAACCCCCGCCCTAACCCCTAACCGCTAATCTTAGTCTAACCCTAATCCTAATCTTAGTCTAACCCTAATCCAATCCAATCCAAATCTGGCCATTACTTTTATAGTAAGAAACCGTCTATGTTTTCTAAGACTAAGATATACCGATATTTCTGGAGATTTTCAACCACAGGCAAAGCTGCATCCAAACTGCATCTGGGCGTCTCCATGCAAGTGGTGATTCACACGAAATTTGCTTTCTCTCGTCTTGAACAATATGGCTATTACCTTTAATATTTAGTTTAAATATGCTCTTATAGATCTGACTTAGTTCGATATAAATAAACACAAATATGAAACCTCGCGTAACCTGTTTACGCTGTACAGGAATATACGGATTCAGTTGTTTCGCCGGACACCAACACTTGCCGTTCAGGAGCAATGCTTGCCTACAAATTTTATCCCCTTCGCAATCTTTGTTTTATTTTATCGTATAGTCGCAATTTTCAAGTATTGGGGGTATTCTGATCACTGAGCTATACTATAACTGGAGGACGTGCTCGGCATCAAAAAGTGTCGCCAAAAACATGGCGGATTTCGGCCCTTGCTGTCGCCAGAATGACGCCATCTGGTTCCTTTTGCTCATGCAATTACCACTGAACAAGGCTCAATTTTGAGCCCGCTACAATTTTCACTCCCCCTGATTTTTGCAAAAAATATTTTGTTCATTTTTGTTGTTTTTGCAGTCGTAGTTTTGGATTTTTGACATAATTTTTGGACGTCGACTATTTTTTTCAAAGATTATATTATTATATTATTAAATTTGTCACAGGACTTACGTCCCAATTAATACCTCACCCCATATATACTTCATAGGCACTTTCTCGGTGTGAGAACAAACAAAAGCTTAACACTAATCTGAACTTGATCATTATATAAATTCTAACTGATTTATGGTTGTTCGTACACCGAGCTAGTGGGTGAACTTTACTGAACTGAACTAAATACTTAGTACTTATATTACAAACATTTTCTTCACAAAACTAAATATTAGCTACGGTTATTAGGAAGTTTGTATGATTTTGACTTGATACTATATAAGTTATTTAAACGAGTTTTAAACGAACATAAACTACTGGATTTCTTAATTTCAGTTGGTAGGCTGTTCCAAAGTTTTGCTGATCTAATAAAGTGAGAGTTTTGAAAGTATTCCTGATTATGTTTTATAATGAGGTGGAAGTTATTTTCGTCATAGTTGCGAGATTGATAGCTGGGATTGTAAGTGCATAAATATTTGTTTATATCCATTGTTATGAGGTGGTGTTTGGATTTGAACAGCAGTATCAGATCAGAAAGTTCTCTTCGGAATTCCAGTTGTAGAAGATTTGTTTTCTGCAACCGGTCCACGTACGACATGTTGTCAGGATAATTCAAGATGAATTTTGTGGCCCGCCTTTGAACATTCTCGATGAGCAAACAATGCTTAATGGTGTAAGGCGACCACACGCTGCTTGCGTATTCTAGCTTGGGTCTTACCAGCGCACAATACAGAATTCTTCTTGTGTTGGTATTCTTCACTTCTTTACAAATCCTTTTGATGAGACCAAGTGTTTTATTAGCCTTGGATACAATGCTTTCTATGTGTTTCGACCAGGATAGGTTGTTGGATATGAGCGCACCAAGGTCCTTGAAGGTCGACACTTGTTCGAGTATGTTCTCATTGATTGAATACTGAGTTCGCGTAGGTGCTCTTTTTCTTGAGAAGTGCATGGTCTTACATTTTGTTGCGTTTAGTTCCATTTGATTATCAGCAGTCCAGTTTGTTATATTGGAAAGATCAAGTTGAAGTAAAGTAGAAGATGTGGGAAACAAAAGTGGTCGGTAAAGCTTTGAATCGTCCGCAAATAACGCAAGTGTGGAATTATTTTCGATGTAGGTTGGAATGTCGTTACAGTAAACAAGGAATAGCAAGGGTCCGAGTATAGAACCTTGTGGCACACCTGATGTTACGGGAAGCCATTCGGAGCAAACGCCGTGAAGAACGACTCTTTGTTGTCTATCTGTGAGGTAGCTTTGGAACCAAGATAATAGAGATCCCCTGATTCCCAAAGTCTCAAGCTTTCGCAAAAGAAGATGATGCGGTACTTTGTCAAATGCCTTTGAAAAGTCCAGGTATATGGCATCAACTTCATTCCCACTTGCGACTGATTCCAGAATTTCATGGTATACTTCAAGCAGCTGTGTGGTTGTGGATTTTCCTCGTATAAAACCATGCTGCATTTGATAAATGTGTGGCTCGAGATGCTGGTAGGAATGATTGTGAACGCAACGTTCTAGGACTTTCGACAAAGTGCAAAGTAGTGAGATTGGCCTGTAGTTCATTGCCAGCGTTGGATCTTCGCGTTTGAATACGGGTGTAATGTTCGCCATTTTCCATTTAAGAGGTACTACACCAAGATTCAATGACATGTTAAATATCTCACATAACGAAGGTGCAATAACGTCCGCAAGTTCGATCAGCAGTCTGTTCGGAATGTTATCTGGACCACACGCCTTTCGTGAATTTAGTTTGCGAAGAACTCCAACAACTTCAATTTCCGAGAGTTCAATACTGGAAAGCTCGGGCATTGATGACGTTGAGGGTAAGGGAGATTTATTAAATGATTCCGAGCTCTTAGGGTTGAAGACAGAATGAAAGAATGTATTTAAAGTATTTGCCATCTCAAATTTGTCCGTTGTAAATGAGTCTTCAGTTTTCAGGAAATTGATGTTCTTTCGGTTTTCCGTCGAGTGTTTTACAGCCGCCCAAAATCGTCGGGGATTCTCATACAAGGACTCTGTAAGCTTGATGTTGTATTGTTTCTTTTTCTTATTGATCAGTTGCTTTGTTAAACGCCTTAAGTTTTTGTATTTCTCTAGGTTAGCTGGGCTTGGAAATTTTTTATGCTTTCTTCTTTGTATGTTTTTCTTCTTAATTTGCCTGAGTAGTTCCTTATCTATCCACGGGTGGTCATGCACACTCTTGATGCAATATTTTGGTATGTGTTTATCTACGGTTGAAAGGAACATGCCACACCAGTTCGAAAGTGTCTCATCAATGTTACCGGGAACAAAACATAAATCCCAACGAGTGTTTGCAAGTAATACTTTAAGATTGGACCAATCAGATTTTGCAAAATTGTAAACGAAACGCTCAACTCTTGGTTTACTTTGTATTTTCAAGTTGATTTCAAAGCTTATGAGTTTATGATCTGTACTTAAGACGTCATCAAACCCTGTCACATTCTGAATTTTGTTCGGTATATTAGTAAGAATTAGATCAAGTGTGTTCTCACCTCGGGTAGGAAAGTCAACCAATTGCCACAAATAATGATCTTTCACAGTTTTTGTAAAGTGTTGATAAATGGTATTGTTGTTAGCCGATACTCCAGTGGTCCAGTCAATATTTGGTAAGTTGAAGTCGCCGCAAACTATAATTTGATCAAACTTACTCCGTCTTTGAATGAGCTGAAGAGATTTTTTGAATTCCTTGATGTACTTTAAATCCGAGTCTGGTGGTCTGTAGAAAACAATCACTGCGATCTTCTTCTTCGATTCGGGACGAAGTTCGCATACCAACATTTCAGCGCTGCTTTCGAGGTCTTGTCGTCTCATGCTCAAAATGTTCTCACGCACAGCTAGTAAAACACCGCCACCAGTTCTGTCAGTCCTGTCTCGCCGATGGATGTTAAAATCGTTGCCAGGAAGAATTTCGCTATCCAGGTTCTCGGGTTTAAGCCAGGTTTCTGTCATCGCTAAGAGGTCAATATCAATTGCCAGTGTCTGAAGTTCATTGGTTTTATTTATCAAACTTATCGCATTGAGGTAAAGACACTGAATATTGTAACCATTAGGGCCAGGATTTGTTGCAATATCACCAGCTAGTAAGATCAACATAAACGTATGACTCGTAATCTTTGCGATTTGGAAACAAAGACCGTATCAATAGCTATCATCTGGTAAGTTAAATTTTCTCGACTTTTTATCTTGAGTTGTAAACCAAATCGAGCACAGTCTGTTGGGCAAAATTACCAGTTCTGGACTTATAATTAACGTGGATCCTGAGTCCGTGGGGTTGCGTGATGATTGTTTGACGCTTAGAAACAACAACCAGAGAATGGCAATAATAAATAAAGGTTTTTGAATCGTCGAATGTCTTTCTTTGCGTAGTTTCTGCATGGTGTCCATGTACATAATTGCTAGATTATGACTCTTTATTTGTTAAGTTGAATAAATGTTCCAGACGCACGCAAAACAGTTGCTAATATGGGTTTAAAGAATTCCAGAAACGTTCAACTTCCAATCAGTAATGTTAGATTAGCTTTAATTGAATGTTCTAATATTAATTTCAATAATTTGAACGATTCTTCGCCACTGACGTATGTGAAATCACGTGCGCCGTATGCTTGCGGGATTTCTTAACGGTCTCAACTGAATTTCCAAACTGGCAGTCACAAATCGTAGCCACGAAACAAATTTTCGCCTCAAAAATCCAGACAATTCTGTACAAACTTCACAAATCCTTTATGCTTTCCAGGTAGATTTGTCTTTAATATAATATCCAGCAAATATTTATGTCAAATTTCTCAAAGGCAGCGGTAAATTTTGCCTTTAAACGTGGAGCGCTCAAGCTCGCGCCCTCGCGCAATAGCGCGTCACGTATCAACTATCAAAGATGTGCAGTTTGTAAAAGTTATCCTTGTTCGCAAAAGACAATAAACCTAAAATATCGGCAAAGACGACATTTGAAGCCAGTTGAGACGAGCTGACAGCCTCGGACGGGTAAAATATAATATTTCACAGTTAGTGAGTTCTCGAGAACCTGAAATACTGTAAATATTTCGTGAAAAATTGGTCATATTGATGGGATATGATTATATTTAAATACGATGGATAATGCTTTATTTTAGCCACAAGTATAATTTAGAGTTTTTGTTGCAGAAAATACGTCGACTTTTATATAATATAGTTTCATTTATTTTTATTAAATATTTAAATATTGCTGATATGTTATATAAATGGTTACAATTTCGCATGCTATACAGGGTGTATAAAAAAAAACTGAACATATTTGAAATTGCTCTCAATTTCGCAAAACACCTAATTGTATCTGGTTTTTTATATATATAGCTTCTTTGGGTACTTATAATGTAAAATAATGAAAGAAATTTCACGAACTCAAATTTTGTGAACCAGGGAGGTGTGTCCTTCCCAAAAAACTAAAAATGGCTCGCGCACAAAATTTAAAAGCTGTAATCATATTTTGAGTTAATAGATTGAAAATTTGTCGGGTTTTTAATTACTGTACAAAATTTCAGACAATTTGGTTTAGTTTAAGCCCTTTAACTATTCATTTTGTTCTAAAAAGTCAGCCTTTCGCATGCTTAATTAATGCCTTTACCTAATTTGCATATTGCTGACATATGCAAATTAGGCAAATGCATTAATTAAGCATGCAAATAGCTGATTTTTCGGGAAAATTGTAACTTTGCGTGAATAGTTAAGGGGCTTAAACTAAACCAAATTGTCTGAAATTTTGTACAGTAATTAAAATCCCAACAAATTTTCCATCTGTTAACTCAAAATATGATTGCAGCTTTTAAATTTTGTGCGCGAGCCATTTTTAATTTGTTGGAAAAGACACACCCCCTGGTTCATAAAATTTGAGTTCGAGAAATTTTTCTCATTATTCTACATTATAAGTACCCAAAGAGGCTATATATATAAAAAACGGATACAAATAGCTGTTTTGCGAAATTGAGAGCAATTTTAAATCTGTTCAGTTTTTTTTTATACACCCTGTAGTATTGAAGCTCTTTGTATCTTGATATTTGTATCTAGCAGTATGAAACCATACATGTATCAGTATTTTGTGTTTTTATTTACTAACTTTGTACATCAAATGGTGCTTTTGTGGGGAATACAGTATGTGCATGATGTCATTTGTAGGAAGAACACATTTCAACTAATGTGGAACACAGATGGCATTGTAGTGTAAACTGTCTTCTCTGATAGTGTTTGGATAAAATTTCAATGAGGGGCTTGACACTTCAGGCCAGTGCCCACTGATTGCCTGGCTACTTAATCACTCCCTTTCAATTTCAAGTAAGAAAATTTAAAAAAATCAATTTTCAATGTTCTCTACAGGCCTACTAGGTCATTGTGATGAATCACAATATTTGAGGAAAACTATTAATAACAATTTTACCAATGACCAGTCCCATATTTTACTGATTAGAATTCCTTTTTCTGATTTTATCGACAATCTTAGCAGAAAATGGGGGTGCACAGCCCCCTGCCCCACACACAAGGTACACCCTGAATTAAGCCATACTGTACTTCAGGCACCCTTGGCTTAAAATTCAGTATTTTTTGTGCATTTCTCTTTTCACATGCTTTTTTCTTTGCAAAATTATCCCACATTTATAACACAGTACACAGCTGAAGTAATTTAATTTAACTTTTTCAAAGAATAATAATTAATTACAATAAATTATTTTAAAATCTAAACTGTTCTAATAACATTGTTGCCCCACTGGCTATGACTAATTTGCTCTCTGCTGTTCAGTATCTTGAAACTTCTAGGGGTACTCTTACTAAGGGGTACTACTGGTCCTGACCAGTACACCACTACTCCTGCTATTTGAACCTCCAAAGACCTTGTGTTTCATTCTTGTCCACATTAAAGTTTCAACCTAAATAAGAAAAATGAGTAATGTTTAAATATATTGTAGTTAGCTAGTCTATCATTGGGTCATTCCAGAAAACATCCATACCACCCCCACAGAGGAAATAGGAAGTTAACCCCCTACCCCCTTTGGATGTCCTAATACATTTACTATTATAAGAAACAATTTTTTCTTCCTTCCCCCTCTGGATGGCAGAAATTTCCTCTGTGGGGGGAGTATGGATCTTTTCTGGAATTACCCATTGTGAGGATTATTAAGACAGAATATCAGACCCCTCACTACAGAGGATATTACTGTCATCTCAAGAGGGAAGCAGGACAAACCCCTCTATGATAGTAAAATGTTTGAGGACATATATTAAACAACTGAAGGAGAAAGGTGTTAACTTGTATTCCTCTTTGCTAAAACATTTGCTTGTATTGCAGAGGTGGTATATGCACAAAATAGTGATTTATTGCAGCAAAAAAGTTGCCCCATGGCCATTACAACTCAAGCTGCTGTCAAAAGTGCCATATAAAATTGGTTGTGCACACCTCCTACACCCCACATATACATGACTAACTGCAGTATTGCACAGTAGGCAACTGCTGTTTAATACAAAATCTGGCAAAGACTAGCAGTTTAATAATACAAAGTTAAGACAGTCACAACTCACAGGAAACATATTTATTAATATTATATAAGATATTAAAATCCAGAGCTTACTAAATGCTTACAATGCTTATTGTAAGTGTAATATAAGGGTTTTAATAAATAGTATATAGAAGGGCACAAAGTAAAACTACTGTAACTTGCAATAAAAACCGAGAGTAAAATCACAAAAGCCAGAGCTTGAAACAAAAGCAAAATTTCATACACACAAATTTTTTAGCCATCTGAAGTTTTTAAAAAAATACATCT